TCTGTTCTTGACTTGATAATGACGTAAAAGAACGTCGAAACATCGTCAAAAATAAGTCACAAACAGTCTTTAAAAGTTGTTTTTATATTATACAACGTTTTAGCGTTGAACTTTGCAATATGTTTCTGTGAATCTCTTCTAATACGTATTCAACGTCTCCATGATCTTTTTTCACACTTCAAAAGCGATGCATACCCAGGAGAATTGTCGGCCAACAGGGTAGGGTTGTCTCCTTTAATAAGTGGCATGTAAGTATTAATGTACTCCGGAGGCTTTATTTGATTGACGTATTCGTGTTCTTCCTCTTCTCTTTTCTCTAGTGGCGCATAGATATGAGAACAAGGGCCGGACACTTGTGTATATTCAGAAGTTTGGCCACTGCCGCTAAGCACCTATGGAAAACACAACATAAAAACATGTCTAAAAAATGTACTAACCGATATGCACCTCAATGTGCGATGTCAGTGTGGTAATACGACAACGAAACGCTCGCGTTCCAAGTACTACAGTAAGCCCTTACCCTTTTATAAAAATGCTCAACAAAAAACGCAATATCTACTTAGTTAAAAAGATTTTACAAAGATAGAAGATAATCGTTAGCACATTACGGACACACGTTACCAACCCTCCATCGTTATGTTAATAACACTTCCCCGAGAATTTACGAACACACCACCGACGCGTTGCCAACAATTCAACAACACATCACGAAATAGCTTATGATAGGCATCATTCTTAGCGAGATTGAAACTTCGGCCCAGAACAATTACCCAAAAGCATGAAAGTACCATCACTCCAGGTGAAGACGGGTCGATTTCTTCATATACTAAGCTGGATTTTTCGGTTTCCAGGTTGCGACGCTCAGTACTTTCAGAAACTGTCAACTGAGTGGTAACACCCACAGGGACCAAGGTTAAATTCTCTTGTGTTTGGTCGCTGAAAGAAAAATGGCGATTAAAATCTCAATGCAGACATGCTCTTTATCTGTCTCCCCTTTTTCGCCCTCCTGTACACAAAAGGTTCTAATTTGTGCAATGGCTTTAAGGGCTCTTCTTAAAGGTGATCGTCAAGTCAGATTTTTTTTCGACGACGCCCTTTTACTTAATTTGAACAGCAAAGTTTGCTAGAAGTTTTAGACGATGTGATTAGAATAAAACGCATCATAATACCTTTCCACAGCTGTAACTCTTGCATCTGGGAGAAAAATCGAAAAACAGCAATAAAAAAAAAAATCATTTAATCAAAAGTTGATATTCGAACGGCAACGAAGTAAATAGTCACAGAATACATTGCAATGAGAGTATCATCATTTTAAATTCTATTTTTAACCCGGAAGTTTTTTTGGATCCCAAAAAATTTAACAAAAAGCTTTGCGCACATTTCATATTTTTACTTCTTTTATTTTATCGCTATTCTTTTTTTTAATCATGTAATGACTGAGCAGTCGTGTAACTTGACCAATTCAGGAGAGGATTCCACCCTTGTCCTGACATTCTTGACGTGCTAATAGATTCTTTCAACTCAACGCTTACCCACAAGTACCAAGCAAATACTATTATTTCGACGAAGAAGCGACGGAAACAGCTATGTCTCCTTTGCTTTTACATTTCTCTCGAGGAATCTATCTTGTTTTACTTTATTGCCTTATTTGTTATTTCAATAGGGAAGCGCAAGTTTAAAACACTGCATTTTTTTTTACATACTGGAGCGCCTCACTTCAAACTCCTTTTTTTGACTTTCCACATTAAGGTTAGCATTGGGTGGCCTGTTGGATCTGGTTTGAAAATAAAGCAAAATGACAAAAGTTGTAAAAGAGCAAAAGAAAACTAAAAAAAACTAGGCAAAGTGTTTTGCGGCAGTGATTCAAAACATAAGCCAATGTTGTGCGACCAGTTTGACCACGGTATTCAAGAAAGAAGTATTTATCTTCCTAGGTGATTGGTGCACCAATTCAGAATATACCCTCTTTTGACAGCGACACCTTGAAAGATTTTGGTCGCTTGATGCATTTTACTCAATAATCATTGCAATTATCCTTTTTGTTTTTCTGGCCATTACCTTTGATACAGATGACTTGCTATGATGGCGATCACGATAAGTATCAGCACTCCCAGAACACCAGCTATTACACCAACCATGTTGTCACCTTCCTTAACGACTGGTAACTCATCTGCAAAATACGTAGCAACAAAACTGCATTATTGCCTGAATTTTTTCCTTTTTTGCATCTCAAGAAAAACGTTGTATTAAAAAGCAAAAACAAATGTTTTCTGAAGAAGTTGAATGTTGTCTACACCGATTTTAGTCTCATTCAGTTATTTAGTTATTTTGCGGTCGTTGTCGTTCGGTTTGTTTGCCGACTGACAACCTTCTTAATTCAAGCATAATAATAAATCAAACTAAATCTACCGGTGACGTACCGCTTTCCATTGTCCTGACATAAATGCAGGGGCTGAATGGCGACTCCCCAACTTCGTGAACCCTTGAGTTTGGATGCAGTATTCCGTATATGGTTTCAAGTCCCTAATTACGGTGTTTGTCGTCGTTGTGTTTAACCTGAAATTGCTTTGTTGGCCTTTTTCTTTGTATAAAACCTCCTAACCCAATATGACGCCGTTTTGATGCTCCTTTGCAATTTTATTCCACTTGGCTTATGGTGTGCGCATCCTCGGCTTCTCTTTCTTGTCTGTCAATGATTGGAGCAGAACTGGGAGCTGTGACGTAATAATTTTTGTAAGTCAGAAACAGAACTGAAAGACCCGTGTCAGCTACCATCTTCACTAAGCAAATATGTCGCATTTAGCAAAATCGATGAGCGATATTAACCATGACGTACTGTATTGTTGGCACGTCACCGTTCTTTAAGGCAAATAAAAAATAGTCGTGAACGCATAATCTTGTATTTAAGCAAATGCACATCATGTTACCAATTGTCACCTTAACAAGAAGAAGAAGACAAGTAATATCATCTTGGTTTAATGCACACTACTCAATGGTTCCAGAGTAGAAATAAGTAGGAAGAAGCTTGCCAGATTTCCTTGAATAAGCATATGGATGCTTATTCAACATTTTGACTGAAAAGAGGGATGCTAACTGAAAGGAAGGCCCTTGATCAAGAGGAGAGGGGTACTCATTATTCTTTTGTACTGATTCTACTGTGATTGAAGCTTTAAAAGTTATAGATAAAGTGGCGATAGAAACAGGTTTTTCTTGTATCCCAGTGGTTTCAAAACAAGCCGGCGACCGCCGAAGTTCCGCTGGCTACTTGATTGTATGTCGCCGGCTCAACAGTCTGCTCGTGAAAAACAATCTCCGCGTTATCACAGGCGCCTACTTTTCCAGACTCGTCCGCCTACTTCAAAACATTTTGAAACCCCTAGTATCCCTATTCCTTAAGAGAGTGAGGGAAAAGCGGAAGGGGAGCTTATTCAAAATGGGCACTTGTTAGACATCATGAAATAGGGAGTGGGAGCTCGTTAGAACAAGGATACTTATTCCAGGAAAGATAATGGTTAGCTAGGTCAAATCATTTTTAAAAGCCATGTGGTGAATGTAATATGAAATGCTGCCATATGAGAACCACTCTTACATCAGGATTGCAGTACATGTCTAATGAACATGCACTCTCCATGATATGTCTTGCCTACTTGTTGACATGTATAGGACACTAAATGTCACACTATACAAGTACACCATACAATTATGTATTGACAACTTTTTGATGTGGTAACGTACAATTATACATTTGTAGAGTCATACACAGTGCTCATAGGGTCTCTGAGTTCACAAGTAAATGTGGAGAACACAATGTCCACATCTAGAAAGGTACATAAATAAAAAAGACTAACTTCTGGACAAGAGCCCTCTCAGTGTGCTGTTATATTTTGTACATAACTTTGAAGAACGGTTGTGTGCCTAATTGGTCAGGCTGTATCAAGGGAAAACAACTAAGAACATGTACAAACCCTTTACAGTGACCAAGTGACCCATCAGTGACCAAGAGAGAATTTCCCTTTACAATCAATCTATACAATATCAAGCAGACAAGTAATGAGCATAAGAGAAAAATAATAATTAGGGGATTATTTAGTCGATCCCATAACAAATCTCTGAGCTAACATCTTTCCCTGAAGATGTCATTCCTCCGTGCACTAGAAATGATCAGTGATTTGTTCTTTGACCAATTTGCTAAGTGATTTAGTTTATTTCTGCTAACAGGATGTTTGA